GGAGGGAAGGGAGGAGGAGAAAAAAAAGACCAAACCAGTTGGCTGCTGTGCCTCGTGACTCTTTTTGTCTTGGTCTTGGGACTCTGCTCTGTGCCTTTCTGACTTAGACCACAAACAACAGTTTTATCTTGACCCACAAATGGAAACTATGCCCTAATCACTTGACCTCTCTGGTCATGTATATGCTTTGTTTTTTCCTTCCAAGGAAACTGTAATGATCTGCCTCTTTTTACCCCCACAATCAGATTTGCTGTAAATATTCTCCCACACATTTTTTGATGAGCAATTAATTGGACCTAAGCTAATTTATTCAGATCTTATTTTGCAACACTGCACAAAGTCTGTAATGAGAAATCTTTCCAATTCTGTGTAACATAAAGGAAATCTACTCAGTTCTGGAGTTCTTTGTCTAAAATATAGGTAGTCAGGCAAAGAATTAAATTGAAAAGTCATTCACTGTTTAGAATAAATAGAGGAGAATTTGTTTCTCTTGGTCTCTACACAGAATTGCTATTCAATTCAAATGATCAAATATTCATCTTCAAAAACCTAACCTCTTGACTCAGGCTAGATTAGTTAGTTACCCCTTCAGAGTATTCCAGTAATATCCCGTATAATATATGTATTATTATGCTGCTTTATTTCATAATAGCCTGCTTGCATGCCTCTGTCTCTCCACACATACAGACCCCCTAGTCTTAAACTATGAGTTCTGTGAGGATAAAGACTGTGTGCCACTCTACCTGCCACATTGTGGAGTGCTAGAATAAATATTTAAGTAAATATATTTTCTTCAAGGAAAATTAAATTAGCAGTTAACCTCCAATCCTGTTAGAACTTTGAAAATTTCCTCCTTAATTGTTATCATAATGTTTTAGAATTATAATACAGATTTTTAGCAGTAAGACTCATTCAAATTCAGAGGTATAATATAATCAGGAAACATATTTCTCAAATTGGGTCATTTATTGCCCTATAAGCCTAGTTAGAGTCTGAGTTCTAAAAATGAAAAGAACTAGAGTTACCACAGTCCTATGGGCCTCAAGCTCAGCCCTAATCTGCCCAATCCTCTTAGCTCCCTTTTTAACATTTAAGCAACCCTGTTCATTCAACACTAGTGCACTGAGCTGCTGTGCTGTGCAGGCACAGTAACAGGAACACCTAGTTTGATAGAAGAGATAGATGTGTAAATAAAGGATTACAGTGTAAAAGACTGTGTGAAATGTAAATCTAAGAGGTGGGGATGTTAGGGAAAGTCTTCTGAAAAAGTGACATTTGAGCCTGGTCTTAAAGGATGAAGAGTTTCGATTTGAGGGCAGGAGATAAACATACATGGAAAGGGGTCAACAGATGCAGTATGTGTACAGACAGAAATAGCAAAGCATGTAAGTACAAAAGATGAGATCAAAGGCAAATGCAGAACTGAATGGAGGCTGCAAAGAAGTTTGAATCAAACCTAGAAGCCAAAGGGGAAGAAGTCATTTTTAAATTTTAGACAGAAATAACATAATCCTACTGTTTCCGACCTAATGTCTTTCTTTTGTGGAGTTGCTGACTTTATTTCTCCCTGTCATTACTACTTTCCCTGCTAATGCTTTATACCTGGGTAATGCATTTGGTTAAATGAGTAAAATGGTCTTCGGTTGCAGTTTGGAATATCCTAAAGCTCCAGGAAGTTTGCCCCTACTCCCACCCCCACCCCCAAAAAATTATGTGCCATAGCTGGACACTGCAACTCTAATCCCATATTGTTACCTGACCAATTAACAGTGTGACCATCTTGGTGCTTTCTTATTATTAAAAAGGAAAATGAAATGACATCATCATAAAAGATAAAATACTCCATGGCTACATTATACTCATTTAACAAAATGAGGATGGGCTAGACACATGAATGCAACTGAATCTGCACACTCTGAGTACTTTTTGCCTTTACCCCATTAGGGGCTTCAGGTTCTATATCTAGATGACTAATTGGCCCACTAAGACCTGAGGTCAAGAGAGCTTCTGTGATGCCACCACAGTGTACCTAGGATTGCGCTTGTCATTTTTGACCCATTGCAATGTACCCACAGTATATGATTGTGCACACAGTAAGCCATTCTTTGGAATTTTACAAAGATGTCATTCCTGGCATCAAACTGAAAATCAAATGTACCCAATCCATCATTTCTCATTTACAAATCCTTTTAGGTTGGAAAGTAGTTCATGGACCGCATCCCACTTTTTAAAAATGTGACTTGAAGTAGTAGCTGGCAGACATGCATACAACCTGGATGTCTCAAGCCTTGATGCTTATTCATCCACGCGGATCCTTTCGTGAAGCCCGCTGGAAAAGAAAGGTGTGGGAGGCAGGCAAGCCACCTCCTGGGGAAACCCAGGGCTCACTTGAGTCATTGCTGCCACCTGCTGGGCCTGACTGAGGAATGGGACAGCCACTCCAGCCAGCCCTCCAGAACCGTAGTAAGAACCTGTGTGTGGTTCCCATGTCTAGGTGACAGGCTGTCCTGTAACTGAAGGCTTTAAACGGTAGAACCTTTTTTTCAGTGTAAGGTGGCATTGGTTACCGCACAGTCTCCAGCCGTGGTGAGGCACAAAAACTAAGCAATAGACTGAGGGCTGGAGGATCCTGGAGTGTAAAGAACTGAGAATCCTTAAGCAGATGCTATATATTAAGTCAGAGCCCCCAGGCGCTTGTGAAAATCCAGATTCCCATCCCCAGAGATTTTGTCTTGCTGAATCTAAGGTGGTACTTATTTAACAGGCTCCCTTTCAGGTTCTGATAGTACCACCACACTCAAGAAGGCTTCTGCCTTAACTACTACATAGTTAAGAGCTTCTTAATCTTTTTTCTAATTAATGGTGTGTTTTCAATGAATTTAAAGAATGGTACATCTTCTGTCAATGGGATGACTTCACTCATTCTTTGAAAACTATACACAAAGATTATCATTAGAGTAGTTTTTCTAAATCATGTGATTTTTTTTTTCTTCCAAAAAAGAAAGAAAGTACTGTAATTCATATTGGTCAACTTAAAGTGGAATGCTTTTTTTTTAGCCTTGGGTACTGGCAAGCAAAGGTGAGGTTTAGTAATTGTTTGTTTTATAAAAATTTATTTATTTGGCCCTCCCTGGTGGCGCAGCAGGCTAAAGCACAGCACTAAGAAGCTTAAGCCACTTCCGCATGAGTTCAATTCCCGCCTGCCCCAGAGGAGATCCACATGGCGTGGCAGACTTCTCGTGACCCGCCCGCTGCTCCCCTTAGCAGTGTACTTCGTCGAACTGCCTGTTCTGCACCCCACTCTGTCTCTGGTGAATCCCCTCACCCTCCACATCTCTGGCCTGTACCCCAGTTCTGTACGAATAAATAAATAAATAAATAAATAAAATTTTTTGAGATGTATTTATTTGAGGATTTTTGCATACAGAACTGGGGTACAGGCCAGAGGTGCAGGGGCGGTGAGAGGATTCACCAAAGACAGAGTAGGGAGCAGAACAGGCAGACTGACAAAGTACACTGCTGAGGGGAGCAGCGGGCAGGTCAGAAAAGGTCTGCTGAGCCATCTGGGTCACCTCCCGGACGGGGATCGAACTCACACTGAAGTGGCTTTAGCTTCTTAGTGCTATGCTTTAACCTGTTGTGCCACCAGGGAGGGACTTGTTTTTTGTTTTGTTTTGTTTAAGATTTATTTTATTTATTTATTTATTTATACATACAAGAGGGGTATTGGCCAATGGTACAAGGGGCAAGAGGATTCACCAAAGATAGAGCGGGGAGCAGAGCAAGCAGATAGACTGAAATAAACTGCTGAGGAAAATAGCAGGCAAGACAGGCGAGGTCTGTCAGGCCATGTGGGTCACCTCCCCAGCCTGGGGTCAAACTCATGTTGCAGTGGCTGTTGATAGCTTGATAGTGCTGGGACATAACTCCTTTCAACCACCAGGGAGGGCCCAGTATTAGTTTTTGCAGCTGTCATTTGCATGAATATAGTAATCATTTGATAAATAATGTCTAATAAAACTCTCAGGGATCTAAAGTACGAAAATACAAAGTTCTTTCCTCCTCTGTTAATCCTTTTTTTCTTTTGGAGGAGCCAAACACAAGAACTGTAGCACATCCTATCATTTCTTATCCCTTATCTGGTTAAGCAAGCCAGCCCAAGATGCAAATGATAGAAAGCCCAAACAATAATTTCTGTGTATGCTGGGAAACTAAGTGCTCTGACAACTCTTACCTTAGAACAGAGAATTCTAGAAACCTGTTGTCAACTTGCTTCATAGAATATTACTGCCCCAAATATGTGTCTTTTTTTTTTTTTTTTTGGTATGCTACTGCTTCTGAAATGACTGATTCCCATCCAGAAAAACCCTATCTGTGAACTGAGTGAGACTATAGGCCTCACGGGTATGTTACACTTGGCATATGGTAACATCTTAGTAAACACTGGACTCCAGTAATTTATTGTGTATGTTCACCTTGACTTGTTTAAGCTTCCAAGTTGCTGATATTCAGTCTGGTTATTTAACACAGCTGTCTTAATGTTCCATATATAGGACCAAGAGCCAGTTCCTTGAACTTCTCATAGAGGGATCTTGTTTAGCTTTCAAGATAATGATTTTTATGACTTGTAAATGTACTTTAGCTATCATTTTATTTAAAATTAGCTTCCTGGCCCTCCTTGGTGGCGCAGCGGGTTAAAATACAGCACTAGGAAGCTAAAGCCATTTCCGCATGAGTTCGATCCCCACCTGCCCCAGAGGTGACCACATGGCGTGGCAGACCTCTCCTGACCCGCCCGCTGCTCCCCTCAGCAGTGTACTTAGTCTATCTGCCTGTTTTGCTCCCCACTCTGTCTCTGGTGAAGCCTCTCACCACCCCTGAGCCTCTAGCCTGCACCCCAGTTCTGTATGCACAAATAAATAAATCTTTAAAAAATAAAGTTAGTTTCCTGCCTTCATGATCGCATAGATTTGTTGTTGTTGTTGTTTTTTCTTTTTTAGACCTACTTGAAGGAAATCTTGAATGAAATTGGTACTCAGAATGTAAAAGGGATCCACAAAAACACATGGGAACTCAAGCCAGAGTACAGACATTATCAAGTAGAAGAAAAGAATGACTAAGGAGGCTAAGCAGCTTGCTGACAGAACAACTGAAGAACGATGTACTAAGCAAACAGCACTGATACTTGAATTCTTGAGCACCATCTGTTATGGGGTAAAATGACTGGTACTTTCATTTATCTGGCTAAATTGTTTAAATCAGTAATTCTTGTAAAGTTACTTAATGTTTTTGGAGGAGAAAAAAAAGCATTTATTATAGACTTAGCCTGTATTAAAACAGATTATTCATAATAGAGTTAGGGTTGGGGGATTAGGAGGTGTTTTCTTTTTTAAGTACTAATTTTTAAAATGTAAAATTAGGGAATATTTTCCAAATGAAGTCTCCTTGTTTTATCTATGAGGAGTTGAGGTAATATAGATCCAAAGTAGGTGACATAGCAAGAAAAGTAGTCAATTAAGAAACTTTTACAAGGAATAAAAAGCCAAAATTCCTTACTCTGAAACTGTCAAAGAACAAAGCTGTCTGTCTTTATTTTTTTTTACAGGTAATCATGTTTCACATTCACATACATGAGTGAAAGGAGAGCATTTGTGTTTGTACTAAGATGGCAGTTTTTCTTGTTAGCTTATTTTACCCTAATGATGATGACATGAGAGATGGGGAGGAAAAAATCATGGTTAGCAGTGTTTGCTTTTAAAGTAATTAGAAATGAAGTATTTTTCCAGAAATCCAAGATACGTGTTCCCCATCCAGATCTCAAGCTCTTCAGGACTCATTTTGCCTCAGGATTTTATTGCCCACTCAGCAGGCATGTACTGACTGTCACATGACTGCTGAAGCCAACTGAGGGGTGAAGTTGATGTTGTATAAGCAAAAAGGTTGTCAATTACGGGGGGTTGGTTGTTTCTCAAGTCTTTCTTTTTTTAGCTAATTTTAAATAAAAGCAATTATATGTCCATGGTTAATTTTTTCTAGTCCCAAATCTTATTTATTAGGCAGTCCAAAATCATACTCACAAACAGAACCACCAAAAGACTTAGCCAACAAAATACAATGAAAAGTTGCTTTTTACTTGTTCATTTTGTCACCTGCTTCTGTTATGCATCCAACAAAGAAGTAGCATAGCCCAGCATTTTAAGAAAATGTTGTGTAGTTAAAACAAATCAAGGAAATAACTGTCCAGCAAGATAAATATTTTTGTGTTATCTTCAGCAGCAAAACACCAGAAGCCCAAGGTTGCCTGCCACTGCACTAAGAAAATGTTTATATTTGCATTCTCAGATAAAATCATGACTAACGAGAGTGCTCATGTGCCTCACCACACTTGTGTCTTATCCTACCTTGTTCTGGTATATGAACCAAAGGTCATACTCCCATTATCTTCTGCTTCTTGTCTGCTGGAGGGTCAGTGTCAGTAAGTAAACAGGTTCTGGTGTGAAAGACATATGTAGAGCTGAGAATTCCAGATGCCTGCGTGTTCTGGTTCACAGCATCTACCATCCCCAAACTCTGTCTTTTCTGATCTGTAGTCCCGCCCTGAAACACACCTGTGTCACCTCTCCCCTGCCTTTGTTACTGTGGCAACAGGGCCTGTGTCGATGAACTTGGTGGCTGCTAGTGGAGATTTCAGGTTACAACTGTGTCTCATTTGAAATTCATTGTGCTTTAGTACTTCTCTCAACTTGATTTCTTTGGTTTCTCTTGTTATCTTTTTACCTTATCATAAGCATATCTATTTGGGTCTCTTAAACAGTTGTTACCAGTTGAGTAAGATAAACTAACTTAGGTGCTAGACTGGGGTCATTCCTGCTAAGTGGCTAAAGGATGACTATCAGGCATGGGCATGGAGGAGACTCAGCCTTCCATACAAAAGTTTCCTTATCTGTTATTTCAGAGCTCTCTTGCTCTGATAAATATGCTGTTGACAGCCCCAAATCAGCAAGTAGGAATCAGAGCCCTTCTAGGCTCTGCAATTGAGAGGAAGGCTGATAAGGGAGACTGACAGTTTGTCAGTTTGTCACGTTGTATGAGGACAGCAAGGCCATATTTAATAGATGTCATTGTTAACTAGTGCTCACATTTAGAGGATGTTTTAGCTGGCAGAGTAGAATAGGATTGTGTTTGCTGTATTGGAAAGATTTGAAATTACATGTTGCCACAGTAACTTCTAAAGTGATGATTCTTAACAAAGGAAACAGGTTTTACTCTGTTGTGTCATAAGCAGAATTATGGATTTCAGCAGAGTTGCAGTTGTTCTTAATGGTTTGTGAATAAATTTCCTTTGAAGCATGTTTTCATCTCTGTTGGTATACACATCAGTAAAATAGTAAATGCTTATCAGGCTCTTATGTACTTAGCCGTATGTTGAACATTCTAAAATACTATTTCATTAATCAGAAATAGTCCTGAGAGGTAAGTAATGTCCATTTTCTACCTAACATACCATCGTGAGGGTTGATCCCCATTTTGAAAAATTCTCCTCTTGGGGGGAAATAAATACCAAAATGTACTTTTCCAGAACTCCCTCTGCCACCACCACCACCAGCTTAAAAAAATGGCAGAAACCCTGGACAGAGTTGTAAAGGTGAAGTTTGTCTTTGGTATCCCTACTTGTATCCAACCACCAGACTTCCTTACCCACAGAATGAAGAGGTAATGTCAAGGTTCTTTTGCTAAAGCTGTATCCAGGTGAGTGTATAACTTTACAGTGAACCCTGTTAAAAAAAAAAAGAAAAAACCTCAGAATGAGTTAAGGATCCCAGTAGTAAGTGATAAGGAGTCCCATGTGCATGGGTAAGGAGCTAAACAACCTTCATTTGTGTGCACAAGTTCAAAATGATGCAAACAGCCCACTTATTCCCTTATTTGCAGCATACTTTTTCACTTTAAATCTTTCCTGAACACATTTCTTTAAAATAACCCAGTGAAAGTAGCAGTGAAAACCGCCTTAGTGAATTATGTTTTAAAGGTGTAAAGTTACAATCATTCACCCTTCCACTTCTGCAAGCTTTCATCAATAAAGATAAATAGGAATTAGAAGCTAACTGGGGTTAAATGATTCACTTTACTAAGGAAGCCCAATAACTTCTGGCTGTACTGGAAAACCTAGCTAAGATCTGAGGATAGAGTGCCCTCTCCATTTTCTCAGCTAAGGGTGACAGCCTATGATAGTAGGCAGTTGAACTTTCTTACCATTTGCAGGTGAAAAAATCTGGATTTCACATAGGCAGATAACCTAGCAAGTTTACAACATGAAGTATAAGTGTAATGGCCCAAGAACAAAGCAGACACAGGCCAGGAAAAGGGATGAATAGAGCTTTGTCAAAACTATTTGATATACTGTTATGGAATCTTATCAACTGAGTGGAAATAGAAAAAAATGGGCTTTGGAAAAAGCAAAAAATGGGCTTTGGAAAAAGCAAAAGGTTGAATGGTAAGTTACCAAAGGAACAGTGCCTGAAGTCAGCTTACTGCCAGTCTCTCCAGGTCACCAGTCTCTTCCTCCCCTAGGTACACTCCCCAGGACACAGCTGAGACATTAGTGAGCATTCACTCAGCCATATACTCAAAACAGTTTTGTCAAATGTGAATCTCCAAAGAGATAACTGTATAGCATAAAATTGCTGATGGCACTTCAAATAATGAATCTTTCATCAGTGATGCTGAGAGGGAGACTAAAGATTTTATAAAGGAGAAATACTTACAAAATACATGTGAAGGCCTGTATCTAGGCTATATAAGCACCTATCAAAACTCAATAACAAAACTAACAACCCAATTTAAAAATGAGCAATAAATATAAACATACACCTTCTGCTCAACAACATTGGTTATTGGGGAAATGGAAATTAAAACCACAGATGTCACATATCTATCTGATAGCTAAAATTTTAGAAAGCTGAGTACCAAGTGTTAATGAGCACACATAGCAACCAGAACTCTTCCACATTGCTTGTGGAACATTACTCACAGGAATGCAACATTGCACAGGCTTTAAAACAGTTTAGTGGTTTTTGTAATTATGACCCAGCAATTCCACTCCTGAGTATTTGCTCAGAAGAAATAAAAAATAATATTTGTGTAAAATATAACAGTGTTAAAATGAATATAATAAATATTAAATATATAATATTTGATATATAAATATGGATATATGTACATATATGTATGCATGTTTGTATGCATACAAAAGTATATGTTTATATATTAAATATAATAAATATTAAGTATTAAAATGAAAATAATAAAATCTATATACACAAGTGTTTGTAGCAGCTTCAATTGCCATAAACAGAATCGGACCTTCTCTGGTGGCACAGTGGGTTAAAGCACACCACTGCAAAGCTAGCCAAGCTGATTTGGTGCAGAGTTTGATCCCCACCCCAGAGGTGACCCACATGGCACAGCAGACCTCTCCTGACCCACCTGCTGCTCCCCTCAGCAGTGTGCTTCATTGACCTGCCTGTTCTGCTCCCCACTCTGACTCTGGTGAACCTCTCACAACCCTGCGCCTCTGGCCTGTACCCAAGTTCTGTATGCAAAAATAAATAAATCTAAAAAAAAAAACCTGAGAAATACTCAAATACCCAGCTCGTAGCTAGGTACAGCAAACTGTGGTCATGCAGTGGACTACAGCCCAGCAGTGAAGATGGGCCTTGTGACACATACCCGTTTGGGTGAATCACCATTCACGTGAAAGAAATCAGACTCGTAAGGCTACAGACTGCTTCCACTTGCATTGTAGTCTGGAAGAGGCAAAAATGTCTGGATAAAAATACAGGTCAGTATTTTCCTGAGGTTGAGAGTTCATGGAGGATTGGCTACAAAAAAATTCAAGGGAACTTTGGGGGATAATAGGATTCCTGATGTGTAGATTCGGTCTTTAAGCTATAAGTCTTCAAAGGTGAACCTTTCCTTGGAGGACTAAAGGCGGGAGGAAGGGCTAGACTTCACTCACCACACACTGAGCTTTACCCTGTGGTGTCCTAACACCACCCTATGTGCCAAGGGAGATGGGAGACCAGACCGCATCCTGCACTGTGCACCTTGTTCCTGTAGGGGAAATAGGTTGGGGCTGGTTTAGAATGTTAGAGGCCAGCTCATAGAACTAATAGAAATTCTTCCTCTGAAAAGGAAAAATATGTACAGTGATGGAGGCCCTTGAATTAAGTCCATTGAAATAGATCCACAAAAAAAAGCCAACAAAGAAGTGAGTCATTTGTACACCCACAATAAATTTGAGAGATGAGTGTCGTTGAGGAAAGAAATCCTTGGCTGCTGAGATTTGCTACATGTTTCAGAGAGCAGTCTTGAATTATTTCCCACTCTATTAGGAGATGTAAGAGATCTACTGTTTTTAAAGCAGAGAAAATCAAGACAAGTTCTTGACCCTGTCACAGTGAAACTTTGGAAAAGCTAAGGCTAGATACTCAAGCCAACTTGGGCTGAAGCTTTTGCTAATGCTACAAGCCTCCCGATAACCCTACTCTCCTGTTCTCAGGCCTCTGGATAAGGTGCTTTACCCCTACAGGGATCCAAGGATCTGAGAGGGGAGAGTGTGCTTCTCCACTGCTGCCTTCTGCTCAACATGGGCAGCCTTCGACAAATCCAGGCAACTGTTATTTGCAGCTTTTGGAGGCAGTAATTCCATACTACCAACTTGTATCCTTATAGAAAATAAAACTGAATCACCTTCCGACAGCATCAGCAAGTGAATTCCTTAACAACGTAAGGCAGTCAGCCCCAAGATCACATTCTGTTAACCACCTACACAAAGATTCATTTGAAAGCCCACAGACTAGCCTACAAGTACACTGAAGTGAAAACACCTCTGTATGAATGTCTCAAGTTTCGTGATGTTGGAAATGGAAACCAAAAAGCTAAAAAGACAAGGGTGGGGGGAGGGAACCAGGATTTTTAAAAAAACAATCTTGGGGGGGGGGAGCAGGGTTTATTGTGTTTTTTAAGGCATTTTTCATTGGGCCCCCTAAAAATGATGTCAATCAGGGGCAGGGAATTACATGTGCTTAAAAAAAGAACCTGGGAAGAAGGCAGAAAGTAAGCTCTGGTTCCATGTTCTCTATCATATCTAACACATTCACCAGGTATTTTTACACAGTTGCTATTTTTGGTAACCTGGAATAGAGACGCAGCTCAGGAGAAGTGGGAGAATGGAGATCATATCTGGTGGAAGGTGGGCAAAGATGACCTCTAATGTCCTTCCTGATTTTCAATGCTATAACTCTATAAACTGTGGGCCTGGTGGGCCTCGGACCCATCCCCGACCTGAAGAGAGACTTGCTTTATTATTCCTCTCTCAGCTCCTGCGCATGGCACAGGCCCAGCTATGACACACACACGCTAATTTGCAAACATTGCTACCCCACTGTGGGGATGCTCACAGGTGCTTAACAGGCACGTGTGTGCTGCAAAAAGACCATTCACTGCTTGGCTTCACAGTCCCTGCCTCCTGCTGTGGGTCCACCTGCTCCTACACCCTACTACAGACACCAGGGACACTTGTCTGTCACCTGGGCCTTACAACCCTCTATGCTATTCAAGCTCTTTCAGCTACATGAAGAAATCTACTCAGGTTGGCTCAAGAGCAAGACAGACAGCCCTCCCTAGGACTGGCCCTTCTCTCCCTGATTCCAAAGACCGGGGGCCCTTTGGTCTTTGCTACTGACCTGCCCCTCTGTGTCTGCTCCCACCTGTGCTTGACAGATTTGACAGATTTGCTTTCCCTGCTCTGCATGATCTGCCTCCCCCATTCCTTCAGCATGCTCTTTGTCGTGATTCGGTGCCAGGACTGGCCTCAGTTTCACAAGACTTCTCAGCTCAGCCTCCCACATTGACTGACTAATTCTGGATCTCTGGAGTTTCTAGAAGAATCCAAATGCCACCTGTGGTGGGTTAGCTGTCACGCCTAGCTGGGTCACTGAGGAAAGCAGGTGTGGGCTCCGAGGCTCCGTTCAGCAGTGCCTATAGCTCCAGGGAGCAAGACGGGCTCCCAAGGAAGCATTGTGTTTAGCTGAGCATTCAAGAAAGTGATTACTGTGAGCCTCTCACAGTGACTCTCAATGAGTCACTCAGGAATACACATCTGGGAATGTAAAAATCTGGTGGATGTTCTTCCATTGTATTCCTCTCCAGCAAAACTCCAGGCCTGGAGTTCCACTGCTAGAGAAACAGGGCACTGGGGAAAAGGTTCATTGATGAACCTTTGAAAATAGTGGTGAAAATTAAGAGGAAAAGACTCCCAGTTTTAAAATCTCTGATTTCCTATGTCAAA